TCCCCAGGCAAACTTGAGATTTCTCCATTCTTAAGGGGAATGGAAAGTTTAAAAAACGCTTTTCATCTTTCCTGAACATGTATCTGCTATCACATCTGGCCTAGCTCTGGCAAAATATTCTGCCCTCGTCAATCAAGAATAAGGGTCTTTCAGATAAATGCCACTGGGAAGTTTGTTAGGATTCCATGGACTACATTTTTGTCTGTCTAGTAACTACAGTGGTACCTCCGTCTAAGAACAGTCCTGTTAACGAACAATTCGGGCAATGCACTCCGCAAAACCGGAAGTAAGTGTTCTGGATAGCGAACTTTGCCCTGGAAGACAAATGGAAGCCGACCGGTGGAAGGGCACTGGCAGCGGGAGGCCTCATTGGGGAAAGCGTGCCTTGGTTTAAGAACGCTTTCGGTGCAAGAACGGATTTCCAGAATGAATTAAGCTCATAAACGGAGGTACCACTGTATTCAGGTTTACAGTTATGTAATGGCATAGTATTTTTTTAAAGAGGTCTGGCATCTTTTCCTGCCACACAAGACCTCCTCCAATATGTGTACAGTGGTACAGCAAAACTGTACAGTGAATAAGGAGGTGGCAACAAGTCCCAGTAATACACATGCTTAGCTCCGTTATTCGCTGTATTGTAGTTTTGCAATCGCAGGTCTTACTTGGAGGCTGGATGTGAGTGGACACTAGAGGCAAGAAAAGGGAGCTGTGGCTGAATCCAGGCAAACAGAAGATTTGTTGCCCTTGCAATCAAATAGAATTATCCAGGCAAGATAATGATGGAGGTTGGATCTTGTGAACTAAACGGAATCAAAATCAGAGAAGTGTCAAGGTAGCACAAAGAGTTTAAGATGAAGCCTGGGCCTTTCTCTTGTGTGAGAGACTGTGGTTGACAAGTGTGGTCAGGAGAGGAAACACGAAGCCGAGGTGCAAGTAAGCATAGAAAAAAGATCTGCAAACCGTGGTGCCCCATTATGTCCTTCAGAAATTGACCAAAGCTGACAGGAAATAAGTAGCCTGGATTACTCCTAAGGTGGAATATGCTACCAACTTATCTGTCCTCTCAGGGCTGATAATTTATCCACTAATTAAGACTTCATCTGAGCAGCTGAGGCACTAGTAGTTTGAACAGCTGTTGCTAGTCCTATTGCAGCATTGGTGTCAATGACATTCTGCGTAGGTTTGTTCATGCATATTCTTCTGTGTTAAACAAGCCTTTAACTTGCTTTTGTGTGCTTCAGGAGCATAAAAAGGAGTTAAAGCCTTAGTAATGTATAAGTAATGTATGGAGGTGTGTGTGAAAAACTGAAGGTTTTCTTAGAGGATTAGGCCTGGTTCACATGTTATGCTTAGCCAAACTACAGCTTAACATGAATGTGCAAATGTGTGGACTTCCAGAGATTGTTCTGCTGTTGAGCTGAACCAAGCCATGGTTTGGCTTAACAAATTGTCTGAATGCAGGCTCATGGTTTAGCTCTCCCTGACAAATCAAAAGCTGTACACCATAGGACAAACCTTGGTTGCAGCTTGTGGTTAGTCTTCAGAGAACTATGGTTTTTGGTTTGAATGACATACTAAGCCAAACCATGGTTTAGTGAAACAGCAGAATGACTGGGGAGGAGCAAAGTGGCCGTGATCTATTCTTCTGGAGCCTGCACACATACACAAAGCCATGGTTTGGCTTAGTGTGAAGTGCAAACCAAGCCATTGTGTACCCTGAAAAGCTTCCTCTGTGCAGTACTTGGTAGAATGCAAGCAAAGAGATACCTATCCTAAGGACTACTCTCTTCTTGGTTTAAAACAGGACAAATTGCATTTCCAAGATTGGAAAGAATTGTTCAGCTTGTATATGCAGTAGTATGCATTAAAATGTAGAAGGAGGAAGAATATACAAAAGGCAGCATAAGTTTGTGAGTGCTTTCCACGTAATGTGCTTCTCTGATTATATATAGAGATATATTCATATTGTAAATATTAGAAGAGTGGCTGCTTTAACTGAGGCATGTATCAGTGAGACCATTGCACTAAACTGCCAAAAGCTCACTCTAGCTGCTATAGGTAAAATTTGCCTCGATTTGCGATGGTAGGGTAGCAAGAGACTCTGGACTACTATAACAGTTTGCTACTGTTCTTGTAATCTATTTCTGCCTAATGATGCTCTCTTATTCTACAGCACTATGTGGGTGGAAAGTGCTCATACTTCTGTTCATTCCTGCAGAGCTTGCTCCTGTTTCCTCCTACTGCCACCATTCCTCTTCTCTGTTTCTACTCCTACTTGCATCTTGTGTATATCCTACACAGACCTGCATCAGATACTGCAAATACATTCCCAATATTTTTGGGAGGAAAAAGCACGAAATGCGTTTGCATAGAACTATAAAGTTGGGAAACATACACATGGACTATCTAGTCCCTATGGCTTGCATTAAGGCAGGTTGTCCTATACTTAATATGCACACAACTGATGTCATCCTATCTCTGAGGGTAAACCTATATTATCATGTTTTGAAAAAAGGGCCACATATTCACAATCTGAAACCCAAACTGCAAAATATCAAATGCCCAGATCAGCTGTGGCTTGGGAACTGTTGTATGTGCACATCAGTAACTATAATTAACTCAGGTTGTTGACAAAGATGTAGGTTGATGGAGGGATATATATTCTACTGGTATGAATTTGATTTGATGTCATCGAAGGGGAAAGTGAGCCCAGGATAACCAACCATGTAAATGGGTCCTACCTTGAGTACAGCTCCTAGCTCACTGTTGAAACTGTAGTAGTAGGAAAATGTATTTTTAGCCAAAAAAATAGAGGCGCAGTCCTTATGATTCATGTCAGAATAGGTCTACAAAAGCAAAATTATAAAAACTAGCGGCACAAAACTACTAACAGTTAATCTGTGTCATCACTTAAGATGGGACAATGTTGAACTGAGAAATGAAGGCCGATGGATCTCCAGTCAAGCCAACAGTGATGGCTTGTGAGTTAATTTAAGTTTGCCCAAAGTACAGTGTGGAGATATTTAAGAAGTACATTTTATCACAGTCAAGGATATTCAGTGACAAACACCAGGGATGCACAGAGAGCAGTAGTGCTCAAATGGGGTAGAGAAGTAGAGGGAAGGAAGATTTATTTACTGAACTTGGAGTGAAAAACTTCTGGCTGCTGCTGTATCTCTGGGAATTTTTACCCAATATGCTTCATAGAGGCAAAATGGCGGCTGTATACCAGTCAGCTTCCTACCAGTTGATGGAGTGGAAGAGCCAGCACATGGAGGTTCCCCTTTCAAATATTGACCTTTATGTGTAGATGTTGGCAGTTTGATGGAGAGGTGCACTTGCCCTTGGGACTGCTAACAAATACTGGTTTTGATTGTTGAAAATGCTGTGGAAAACTGAATATTGTGGCGCTGTGAAACATGTTTTCATGAAGAAATGTATGAACTGATGAACTGGCATTACCTCCATGCTGTCTTTGCTTCAGTTCTCAGAAGAATCTTGGAACAAAGGTGAACACACTGAAGCATGTTGTTGCAAATGTTCTTGCCTTTACCATGTATATGAATTCCCAGCAGTGACAACATCGGGGACAAACAATATTAAGAAGAACATAAGAAGAACTCTTCTGAATCATACCAAAGTTCTCTCTGGTCTAACATCCTTTTTTCCTGCAGTTGTCACCAACATTTCTCTGGAATGCACACAAATGGACCACGAAAGCAGTAACCCCCTATTTTTGCTCACATTATCTGGGCTGGTTCTGACATATTGCTCTGAAAATTGGAGGTTGCACATCATGGCTCATATCCATTTATAGTTTTCCTCCATGAATTAATTTGTCTAATCTCCTTTACTACCTTTGTGGCAGCAAATTCTATACACTAGTTCCCTAAAATTAGTGCTGCAGAAGCACTGAAAAAAGGTTGGCAAGTTTTGAATGCACCTTGAGTGTTAATGTGCCTGAAAATATTTCAAGTATCTACTCTTGTTATCCCAGCTTTTCAAGAGGTGGTCATGCAGATGGGTGCTGTGCAGATAATCCTAAGAGAAGTTACAAAGAGAACTACAGCAGAAGTGATAAAAGTTGGATTTGTATTCAAAATGAGAGAGGGTTTTGGACATGCCTACACAGAATGCCATTGATTGCAGAGAAAAAGATGAGTCTGCGTGTTGTAATAAATTTTACAACAAGATTATTGTTGATGAACCAACAATTTCTGAGATTTACACCACAGTGCTAGATTACCTTTGGCTACCACCACAAGATCATTTTACATAATGTGGCGTAGTGAAAGAAATGCTTGTGACATGATGAAATAAATTGCTGTGTTCACCCACCAAAGAATTATCTGCAGTCAGCAAAAACTGTGTTCATTCAATGCAGGTGTAACACATACAAGGTGTGTGAGAATTAGGCTTCGGAATTAGGCATTGCAGCCCAACATAATATATAATGAGAAAACATGAAATTCAAGATAAAGATACAGTGACTCAAAAATGAACAAAAAACCCAGAAAAGTTATGGATTCTAATTTCAGTTTTAATTTGTATACTGCTCTTCCACATCGCTGTACTCAAGTTGGTTTACAACCTATCAACATGACATGGACAATATAACTAATGGTTTCATAAAGCCTTTCTAGCTGACAGCAGAGATTTCATCATTTCCCAGCATGGCTCTTATGCACAGAATCTTGGTAACTTGCACCATTACAAGATGCTCCACAGAGAATGCGCTGAGCAAACTACATGATTATGAACAGACAAAGAAGAGCCATGCTACCCTGCATATCTTGTATGACTATTTGGGTTACTGAAACCAGGTTAACAGCATTATGCAAAGTTAAAAAGTAGTAAATTTTTTTTAAAAAAGATGCAGTTGACCATGTTTCTGTTTTGAGAGTACCAGAACCCCAGTTTAGCCTCACGGTGACTCTTGAATTGTAGAGTTGGAAGGGACCACAAGGCTAATCTAGTCCAACCCCTGCAGTGCAGGAAATTTTCACCCAGTGTGGGGCTCGAACCCACGATCCTGAGGTTGAGGGTCTCATGCTCTACCAACTGAGCTATCTTGCAGCCTATACACTGTTGCTGACTAAGCAAAAAGAAAAGGTCTTTATTGTATTTTTCTTTATTTTTTAAAATTTTGCTGGGGGAGGGTTTCCATATTAAAAGCAGCACATTGAAAATATTCTTTTTAAATAATAGAGGGAAGTGCAATACAGATTTAATTTTTCCGGTAAACAACTAGGTTACCAGGTTTAAAGATTTTGAGTTATTAGGGTGCAGGGAAGGAGCTGTCAAGCACCTAGTGGGGATTTGCTCCCCTGTCAAGTATTAATTTCAGTACCTGGTTGAGACTGTGGTTCAGTATATGACTTTCATAGAATACTACTTCCTCTTTCATCTTAGGCCTTCCTATTAACACTTCCTCAAACTGTCATACAAATGGATCTGGAATAATCTGACAGTGATGCTAAATTTGGCTTTCTCCTCCATGGCCCTTGAGGTTAGCAAGGTTGGTGGTGATGCTCATAAGTTACCACGCAACAAGCTTGTAAGGCATAATAGCTACTTTAGAAATTCCATAGAGATGCTGCTAAAAGCATAGGGATGATACTGATGTAATAGATTTGAGCTTTGGAAATCCACTTGGAGGGGTTTCCACAACATTGCTTTTGGTTGCTGAAAACTAAATTTCTTATACATCCAAATAGCTGGATAGATGAATGATGTTATACAGTGTGAAATACATTCTGCAAGCTTAAATATTAAGGAAACATACCTCAGGCATGTGTATGTGTGTTGTGCTGACATGTAGCCAGTTTTGTTTATTGTATGGTCTCTGTGTGTTTAAAATCACCTTCTCCAAAGGAGTCCTCTAAAGTTATGGAAGATGGGGAGTTGTCATTAATCCTGGAAGTCATTGTGGTAGGGACCACAGCCCACATTTCATGGATAAATCTTTCAGCTAGGCTCTTCAATGTAAGACTTGGGGAGAGAAAAATAATAATAATAATAATAAATATTTCTTTATTGCTTTAAGATACAGTACTACATTATCTCAGTCCTATGGGTAGTTTACAAACATTGGTGGTTGTTGTTTAAAAATTTTTTTAAAAATAGCAGCCAAAATACAAACAGTACAGAACAGCATCTCGACACAAACGTAGCAACATAAAATCCATTGAAGCCTCCATAAGGACATGCTTTCATACCTGAATTCATGTATTTTTAGATTTTTTTAAAGATTTTTTTATGTTGCTGCTTTGATTAGGGGACCATCCACAGCTTCAAACAGCTGCATATGTTTATTATGAGGTGAGCAGCTTCATTTTAAAAATGTTCTTAGGCTTTTTCTTTTTGGGGGGGAAATTAAGACTTGGTTGCTTTTGGAAAAGACTGGAAGAGATAGAATTAATTTTCTCAATTGCTTTGGATATATCTATTGAGACAGTACTGTTGGATAACCTTTGCACCCTGCATCTTGTAACTGCAAACCTGTTGGGTATTTAAAAATTGCTCTGCTTTTGTTTAATGCTTGTTCTGGAGACTGGTGGTGGTTTGTAACAGGTTAAAACAATGCTCTGTTTATAGCCTTTTGGTGAGGCAAATGTGTGTCCCCTTTTAAAGAAGGTTCTTAAATTCTGTTTTTGTCTTGCTGTATCCCAGGTCTTGTTGTCTGACTTTGTGATTGTGTTCTGGTGAGTACCGTAATTTTCTCTGCAGTTTTCTTACCAGTCTATACACTTGTGGCCCTTTGCTGCGATTCCTCTTAACGGTGTCTGTTAATCAGTGCTGTGCATCTTTTTCACTTTATTTGTTTGGAGTTGAACTTAAGCTACCAGTATTTTTTTCCAGTGCACCTCAAATGTGCTATTGCTGTGGGTGATGTGGGTTTCCTGGGAGAAAATTGAATTGGATTTTTTTTTTACCTGTTCAAGTTAGTGTACTTTACACACAAAAACTTACAATTTGCATCAGAAAATTTTCTGATGTTCTAGAGAGCAAAATAATTTAGCACAATTGTTTTACTCACATTTTGTAAACAAAGCTAAAAGCCAAGCTTGCTGTGCCTAATATGTGTTTGAAATTGTCATCCATTTATTGTTAATGATGAACTTACAAAATGGGAAACATTCCATGGAGAAATTAAGTATTGGAAAATTTTTCCATTTGGGAAAGTTTCCGCTCTACATTGCCTCGGGGCAGCAAATGAATTGACTAGCTCTGAAATATATGAAGTTCTTGGTTCTCACTTACAAGCTATTGAGAAGGAAATATTTGGAGGAAGCATTACTTGAAAATTGCATATAAAACTGTTCGTGTTTTAGGAAATAACAAGCACCTCTTGCTTTTAGGGAGCAGAAAGGGTTTGTTGTTTCTTGCTCCTGGTAGTTTAAACTTGGTGTGAGTGTAGTGTGGAGAATGAATACCTGCTTATAGCTAAATGGGTTAATTGTTAGAGGAGTAGGCACCATGGAATCTAACTATGATTTATTTATCCATTAAAAAATCCATAATGGGGGACAAATTTACCCACAAGATGGCTTTTCTACCATTACCGAACCTCCTCTGCAGGTGCTACAGGTATTCTGGGGTGTGCCACTGCAAATATATTCAGGGGATTTGTGACAGATATTCATGACTTCATTGATTGGTGAGTTGATGTGGAAAGTGCTCTTTGAAGAAAGGAAACTTGAAAACAGTTGCCCTATCCTGTAGATGGTAGACATTTTATTGGAACTTACAAGACTTGTTAAGTTCGAAGTAAGGAACAAGATGGGTTCACTTGTCCACTTGGGAAATTCCAGGTGACAAGACCACAGCAAAGAATCCAGTTTGGATTTCAGCTTCCTTGTTTAGTAGCTGTGTTTTAACACGCATTGGTAGCCCAGTGTTCAGTCTAACATCTCTATGGATGTTTGCAACAAGGAAGTACCTTTCTGTCTTGAATCATTCAAGTGTTTTTATTCATTAATAAATCCCACTTGAGTCTGTTATATTGGATACACACTGAAATCAGATAAATAAAAATCCTCTCTTCTTGTTAGCTATGTAAGCCTTGCCTCCAGTTTCTAATCAGAAGGGACCAAATATGTAAAGGAGTAGAGGATGATCAAAGCTTCTGTGTTCTTGATATAACTAGGGAATTTAGACTGGAGCAGTCATCCTGTTGTTGTGGATAGTTTCTGCCTTTGTTTTGTGTGTGTGCTCTCCTTATCAATTAAAAACATATATCCTTGCTGTCAAGCGTATACTCAATCAGTGTTTTTCTTTTCTTTCAATTCAGTAAGCCTAACCTTGAGGGGTATGTCTGAAATATTGCAGAGGATTGGAACCAGCCTAATTAAGTTATGGCAAAATTCTGCTTTATGTTGACAGGAGCAGTTCAGAAATTGTTTGGTTTTTTTGTTGTTGTTTTTTTGTTTTTTTTTGAGCTATAAAATAATGGTTGTTGGAGGCTGAGGCCATGTTTTGACCATCTCTCTGGTCCTCTGTTACATCTGCATTTTTTATTTTCTGTAGATCCATAGGATAGGCTTCACAAACAAGCAAAATATATACCATCCTTTTCAGCTTGATATAGAGATGACTTTACTTGTCTAACTGCAAAGGAGAGTGTCTGTGTCCCCCCCCCCCCAGTTAGAATAAAAAAAAGCCATTTGTGAAAATCAATTGGGATTGTAGGAAGCTGCCTTATACAGAGTCAGATCATTGGTCCACGTTGCTCAGTATTGTCTCTGTTGACTAGCCAGTGGCTCTGTGATTTCAGACAGGAGTCTCTCCCAGTCCTTCCTGGAAATGCCAGAAATTGATCCTGAGACTTTCTGAATGCAAAACAGATGCTCTTGTCATGGAGCTACATCCCTTCCCCTAACTACAGGCAAACATGATTGGAAAAGGAACTGAACATGTCCAGAGCATGAGATAATAATAATAAAACTGGATTGAGACCTCTTCATTCAAGGAAAGAAAGTATCAAGTTTGTAGTAGTACCCAATGGTGCTACATATAGAAAACTCAACCTTGTACTTCAGCACTCACCTGGTATAGGTCATAGCTGATAAGGAATTGCATGCAGGCAAGTGATTGGATGTTGCAAGAGCAACAGAACTCTCCATCCTTCCTCCACTATTTCCCAGGAGGATAGTAACTTTTGTGGACTTGTTTACAAAGTATAGTCATATTTGATAAAAATAATAATAAAAAGAACGCAAGGTAAGCACTTAATAATGGTTGTTATTTCAGCAGTTGCAGTGATGGACAGATCTAGCAGATGGAACTTGCCATAAAATTGTAGACTGAGCTGGAGGAATTGCAGTTCACATTTTAGGTTTGTAAGCTCCTTGTGGTAGGAACCTTTCATCTTGTATTCTGTTATGCATCATGCACACTGATGCTGCTGTATGCATTGCAAATAGCAGTAATTAAATCCTTAATAATCTGAGCAGGATTAAATGCTAGGACCTGGCTTTTTCAAAACTGCAAGTGTGGGGTGGGTGTGTTGTACTAGCTACTTTTAAATTTTGTGTCTATGTGGAATCTGGTTGGTTTCCTCCTTTTTGTGTTAAACTGACTGTAGCTTGTTTCTGAGAATGAAACACTTGTGGGTTAGTACCCAGAGCCATTTCTGTATTTCTAATATCCTCCTTGACAGATTATAGCAGTGCATCTCTTTTCCCTTCTGATAACATGCAAACCATCCCTGATACTGTCCTGTTTTGGGGGGCGGGGGAAGAGGAGGATGACTTGAAAGTAAGACAGGGAGCTCAGTTGGCACAAAGATATGGCCTGCCACATTCTATGGCAGCTATGCAAACTAACAAAGTTTATGCAAATCGTTTTAGTAGCTGAGGCTTGGCCGTTCATTGCAAAATCAGTTTATAGTAAAGCTTCTGTGATTGTAGCTCTAGCCCTAGATTTAGTGTCGAACCTTAAGCTGCTGTGTACAATGGGCGGCTTGGGCAAACAGCGATTGTGTTTTGAAAATACAAAAGCAATGTTATTCTGATGTTCCTGTGAAGGATTTTATTTGGGAGACCTACTGTCAAGGATATACAGTCTGCCTGGTG